CTGCATCTCTCGCTGTTCACCAAGAAGCACACCTACTGTGTGCCTCGCACCCCTCACTGTTCACCAGGAGGCATGCCTACTGTGCGCCCTGCACCCCGTGTAGCTCCTGCCCTGTCACTCAGCTCCTCTCCACCTCTCTCAGCAGGGGAGGGCGCATACTGTACATACATCACTTCTCTAGGGAGAGGGAGGCCATGGTGGTGGACATCCTCAGGGCCATGGGCAGGCTGCCCTTGTTGCCAACCCTTCTTAGCAGCCAAAGAGGGCAGGGACGGGGGAGAGAAGAGAATCAGATCCTCCCAGGGTGGTTGAAGGCCAAGGGCCTGGGCCATCTGCGGTCAAACTTGTCAAAAAAGTCCTTGTCCGTCAAGGGGCCACCGTAGGCCACCAGGCCACTAATGAGAAAGAAGGGAAGGAAGGGCTTCAGGTGCCCGCAGCAATGCTGGGCCCACATGCCCACGCACAGGAAGCAAGAGGAGCATCAGTTGTGGCCGGCCAGGGCTGAGTGCAGGGAATAAATAGAAGATGCTCCTCAGGCAGAAAAATCTGCTGGGCCCTACCGGACACACAGGGCACATGCTTCCCCTCCAAGCCAGTGAAGACTCAGCCTCAGTCCAGGCCAGCTCACCACCCAGGGCCCCGTCAAGGAGCAGGCGCGTCCTCCCACTGCTGTGACCCTGGCAGAGGCCGTGATGTGTGGAGAGGTGGGGCTGGCTGAAAGCTGGGGCACTGAGCCCAGGAGGTGGGTCGGCAATCAATCGGCCACACTATCATCGGGATGGAGTGAAAGGGGAGGCCAAGCGGGGGGGAGGGGCCAGGCAGGCAAGGAGAAATCACAGAAAACACAGCCTGTGAGTCAGGGTAGGCTGGAGGTCAGAAATGCGCTGCGGACCAGGACGAGGAAGACTGACACACCCAACAGCGAGGCCGGGGGGACAGTCGGGAGCGAGGAGCCCTGGAAACACAAACCTCCAGGTTGGAGGAGGCTGCAGGGGCCGCCTGGGCAGACGCGGCCTGCTTGAGGCATCCCTGCCTATGGCCACCGGCCTTCACCAGAGGACCCCCAATGAGAGGCAGTGCCCGCTGCCCTCCTTGGCAGCTCCTCCCAGGCGGGGGTAGCTCAAGCTGTCGGGCAAAGCTTCTTCTCCCATCAGTCCTAAATCAGACTCTGTGGGTCCCGGCAGAGGCCAAGTCTAACCCCACTATTTAATAAATGAGGGGTAAAGCTTCTTGTCCAGGGTCTGGCATGTGTCAGGCAGGACCTGGACCTGGGGCTTCCTAACGGAGGCCACCTCTCCACCCTTCTCCCACAATGCCTTTCTGTTCCAGGCCCTGCACCTCTCTGAATGCGCCCTAAATCACATCAGCTTTTTGGGAGGCTACAGGCTTTAAAAGCTCCAAATCTGTGCCAGCCCAGGCAGGGCCGACCCAGGGAAGGAGACAGACGAGATCCCAGCAGGCCTGGGAACAGGTAATCAAACCCAAGGCACCTCCTCCCCCCTAAGAGTGGCCTTGATTCTGAAACAGGCCAAGAGGCCCCCTTCCATGAGTCCTGCTGGTCCCAGGCTCAGCAGGGAGCATCTTGGGCTGCCCAGCTCTGCTCCCAGACCGAGACACAGAGGGCAGGGTATGAGATGGGCACGTTGCCTGCTAGCGCACTCGTGGGGCCAGGAATTCTACAGGCCAGCCAGAACCCAAGGCTCATGAAGCTGGCCTCCGTGGTTCCTTCCCTGCTTTTCCCCAAATTCACTACCCTGTGCTCCCTGGCCACCATTTTGCTGTAGATGCCAAGGAGATGGGCAAATATGCACATGTGGCTGAGTGCAAGCCCGTTCCAGCTACCAAAGCATTTGCCCGTGAATTCTGCTTGGCCCCAGGAGGCAGAGCTGGGAGCCTCGGGTGAAAGGTGCAGGAAGGAGAAAGGCTGGTTTCCTAGCAGGAAAACCTTCCCAACAATCACAGGAGCGAGTGAGCCCAAAACGGAGTGGGCCCAGACAAAGAATCAAAGATGGGGGTGCTGGAAAGGGCCTCGGAGAAGCTCACTGAACACTGAACAGAGCTGAAGTGACTTGTCCAAGGTCATCCAGCAATGAGGCCCAAAGAGGGGGAGGGGCTCAGGACCACAAGAACTGAAGTCTGGAACTGGAAGGATGCTCAGAGATCATCTTGTCCGAACCGTCCCCCTCCCCCACCCCCCAAGCTTAAGTGACCAGCCAAGGTTACTGATTGAAGAGCTGGGTTTTAACTGGGCTTCTGTGACTAAGGTCAGGGCTCTTCCCACCTCACCATGGGAGTTTCCTATTTCTGAAGGTTCCAACTGAAGGAGGGCTGGTCACCTGCTGGGGATGTTGGAGGAGGGCCTGCTGGACCACACGACCTTTGAAGTTCATTCCAACTTGGGAGATGCTGTGGTCAGTGGCCTAGGTCTATGAGCAGCACCATGTATTCGCCTACAATCACAGACCTGAGATCTTGGGATTAAAGCATTTTGGTTCAAGTGGGGAGACCCAACTGGCCTCCTTTGGGAAAGGTCCATCCTGTGTACTCCCAAAGACCATCAGAGATCTCACAAGGTCTTTGACACCCTGGGCTGGTTGCTGCGGGCCTCGGCACACATCAGCTGAGCCTATGGCCTGCCTCTTGGGGTGGATCTCCTTCCTGGCCCGGAGCTCCTCCTTTCTGCTTGAGGATCTGACCAGCCACCCACAGCTAGGCCCTGAGGGGAGAGCCAACCCTAAGGACAAAAGTGGCCCCTCATCCTACCCATGACAACATGGGGGTGCTGCCCCTCCCTGACGAGGCCGGAGCCACCGGCCAAGCAGGAGGAGGAGGAAAGGCTCTGTTTCTAGGAGGCCAGGCAGGGAGGGCAGGCTCACCCCTGCAGATCAAAAGCACCTTCTGGGGGAAGAAGAAACGCTGGGACAAAACCTTCAGGATTTACCAACATCCCAAAGGGTGACCACTGGGGGACGCTCTGGGGGGGCTGGGAGCGGGTTGGGGCTCGGGCTCTTTGGGCACCCTCGGACTTGTGCAGAAGTGTCTAAAGGATCATTCTGTCGTCTGTGACGGCCTCCAGCCTCCCCTAGCCATGGAGCTGACCTGGTCCGCTTCTCATGCTTGTGAATGGCGTGACCCTTCCTATCCAGGTCACATAGCACGGGATCCCAGCTCTGGAACTGGAAGGGAATCCTGGTCCCTTATTCTACAGAGCAGGAAAGTGGGCACCAGAGAGGCTACAGAAACTTTAGATTGGGAGATTGAGGGCCCTCGGGGGCTGGCTAATCCAAGCCATTACAACATCTGAGGTCTAGAGCACACAGGCCACAAAGTCCAATCGCCTTATCTTACAGATGAGGAAACTGAGGCCCGGGGGAAGCTCCCTTTGGAGCTGAGGGGTCTGGTGTAAGATGCTGGTAGGATCAGAGCACTGATGGCTGGACGAGCCCTGAGGGATCATGGGGCATCACAGTGCCGGGACTCAGATCCTCCTGGTCCAGACCCAGTGGGGGGTCCCCCCGGAGGCCAGACTTGGGGGCAGGTTCCCTGCCTGGACCGTGGGGGCTGAGCACAAAGGTGCACTTAGCGCCTCGGCCTACTGAGAAGCAGGTGCCAAGGACCAAAGCACACAGGGCAGCCAGGATGGGGCGAGGACCACCCCACCCCACTCACTCCTTCCGCTGATCCGCCAGCGAGGTCCCCCGAGTCAAGGCGAACATGTCAAACTCGTCTTCCAGTTTTCCCGAGGTGTTCAGAGACTGCAGCGTGGCGCTGACGCTGCTGGTGCCGAGGTCTGCAGGAGAAAGGCCGGGCAGTCAGAGGGCACTGATAAAGCACCTGGCACCTCAGGAAGCCCACCTCCCAATGAGGGGCAACAGCAGGGACACACAAAGCATCTAACAAATACCATGAATGCCAGGAAGTTTGGGAGGGGGGCCACTAGGATCTCAAGATCCTCCCCCTGAGAGGAGGAAGGGACCACCCTTGGCTCATCCTGGGCCACGTGGCCAAGTGCCCACGGCCCAGCACTGGTCCCACCTCGCTGCCCCCTCAACAGTGTGGGGTGGGGCTGGGGAGCGGTAGATGGTAGAAGGAGTCTCTGAGGTGGGGGAGGGGGTGAAGAGGGAGGGCAGTCTAGGCAGAAGGCACAGCCAATGCAAAGGCATGGAGATGGTAGCATATCTGACAAGTCTGGAGGAATAGTTCTCCTTCCCACACACCATAAGCTCTCCTGTGGGCAGGATGGCAGCAGCTGCTGCCAGTCCCCATGCCCAGGGCTCTCCCTTCAGGCTGCCCCAAGACCAGCAATGAAAGCAGAGGTAGTCAAGGCTCCTAGATTAGGGCTACAGGGCCCTTGTAGCTCCTGGACTCTAGATTCCTGGGGGTCATTCCCCAAGCTCGCTGTGTCCCTGGGAAAGTCTCACGTAATGGGTCGTGCTGCAAGGAGCTGGTGAGGCCAGAGGCCCAGCACCTAGCCAGTGCCGAGCCCCAGGGTGGACAGTACTTAATGTCCCTGCTCCTCGGGAGGGTCTGGGTCAGAGCTTGCAGGCCCCACCCTGGGGCTGCAGAGCTCTCCGCCGACCACTGAGAAACCAGGGAGGCGGCAGCCGGACTGGGGTGCTCCCACCCTGCTTGAATCTGACTGTCCAACAGGAAGAGGGCGCACGGCCACATCCCAAACCAGAAGCTCTTCCCCAGAATCCGGCCCACTCACTTACTCATCCCGGCGAGCTGAGAGGAGAGGGTCCTGGGGGTTTCTGGCTGGTGCCCCGCCGGGGCAGGACTGGCGCTGCTGAGGTCAATCAGATTGGTCGCTGGCTCCACCTCACTTGGGACCTTCAAAAGGAAAGCCCAGTTATTCTCGCCTCCTGAAGGCAGCTGCCCACGGTCACGGACCACGGGCTTTAGGGGGCTTCCTGCCCTACTGGCTTCTGTGAAACCAGGCACAAGAGCCCACACACCGTCCCGGGCCAGGTGGGCTGAGGAGCATTGGGAAAGGCCTCATTCCACCTTGGTGCCCCCGTTCACTTTACAGCCCGCAGATCCGCCCGGGCCTGGCCCGCGGCTCTTCCATCCACTCTATAATTATCTTGTGTGTGATGATTTCTGTTATTATCTCCCCCATTGGAATGACAGCCGGTCTGTTTTTGTTCCTTCTCTGCAGCCTCAGCACATGCACAGTGGCTAGCTTACTCAGCGTTTGCTGATTGACTTATTAGTTGTGCAATTGATCGGCATTTATTATCACCTGTTATGGAATCGGGCCAGTTGCTGAGGACACAAAGACAGAAACGAAACAGTGCCTGGTCCCAAGGGGTCTACACTCTAACAGCAGACAGCCTGCACAGATATAAGGATGTACATACAAGACAAACACAGATGATCTGGGTTGGGAGGCGGTGGGAGGAGGGTCACTAACAGTTTGTGGGGGAGGGGTCAGAAAAAATGCCATACGTAGAAGGCGGCCCCTAAGTTGAATTTTGAAAGAAATACAGACTTTCAAGAGGTCTGGAGGATAGGAGAGAGAAGACTGTAGGCACGGGGACAGCTAGTGAGTACAAAGGCATGGAGGTGGGAGATGGGAGAGGGAGGGAGGGTCATGTGAGAGTCAAGGTAAGAAAGTCTGGCTGGCCTGGAGGGTGTGTGGAGGGGGGATGGGCAGCTTAGGGCTGTCGGTGCCAAGAACAGGTGTCCCACTGACACAGATGGCACTGTGAGGACATGGGAGGTTATCCACACGGGGGTCAATGGTGACTTACTAGAGGATTGAGCATCTCTCATCCCAGTCTCTTACCCTGTTATGCTGGCCCGTTCGGAACCGCTCAAACCTGTAAGGAAGCAGAGAGGGGGTTCAGGGCTGGAGCTCACAGATTCCCAGAATGCCTGAGCTGGAGGAGTCCTCAGAGAGGGGCCAGGGCAGCCTGCATCTGAGCAGTAATTCCCCCCCGAGATCAGACGAGTGGGCATCTGCCTCCACTGAAAGGCCTCCCGGGCCTCTGGAAGCAGCCCACACTATTTTGGGGCAGTCTCATTTTGAGAAAACCTTTCCTTATATGGAGCTGAAAGCTGCCTCTCCGGGCCTTCCACCCACTGGCCGCAGGGAAGCCCTGTGAACGACCCGATGACCCAAGCCCCTAAGTCTTCTCCAGGTCCCATTCTGGTCCAGCAGGGCTTGTAGTCCCCTTATCATCTTGTCCTTTTGGACTGATGCACTAGGGACATGGTCTAGGGGATGTGGGTCAGGGCTCTTTCCATTCTGGATTCCTCAGGGAGACATTCCCACCCGCCCCCAGCTTGGCAGAGAGGCCCTGGGGCACCCTGAGCCCTTAGAGCATAGGCCCAGAGGGATGCCTTCTTTTGGTCTGTATGTCTTAACTCTAAGCCCCCATTTTACTCTTAGTGTGGCTCCATCCAGAGAGGGCCAACCTAGAGTCCACCCAGCAAGCCAGGCCTGCTAATGAGAAGGTGGCCTCGACGGTGCCAGACCCCAGTGGAGGAGGAGGGCGAAGGGCCCGGGCAGGGACAGGGCTACCGTTCATGGCGCAGGAACACGTTGTTGAGGTTGTCGTTGACGATGAGCAGCTCCTCGGTCAGCTGCTCGTTGAGGACCCGGGGGATCAGCTCGAGAACTCGCTGCTGCATAGCTCGGCACGTCCGGTTCAGCTCCTGACCACAAAGGGGGAAGCAAGTGGATGGTGGGAACCCCAACAAGGAAAGAAGGCAGGGGGTGGGCGGGTCCCTCCAGGAACTGAGCTATAGGCCTGGGGTGGCCAGGAGAGGGACGGAGCCAAGTTCGGGCCTCAATTTTGTGTCCAGAGGTGTTTGGCGCCAGCTGGGCACTCGTCGGTGCCCCCCTAGTAGGGGAGTGTGATAGGGATGTGGTGGGCAGAGGATGGATCCTGCAGTCAGGCAGACCCAAGTGAGAATCCTGCCTCAGGCATTCACCAACTAGCTGTGGGCCTGGGTTTGACCTTTCTCAGTCTCAGTTTCTTCATCTGCAAGGCAGGGGCAATTACAGCCCCCAGCTCTCAAGGCTATCGTGAGGATCTAACGAGATGATATATGTAAGTGCAATGAAAATGGCAGCCATCGGCGCCAAGTGCACGCTGCTCTCCGGACCACGTCCAGGACCACAGTTCTGGAGCTGGAGGGGGCCCCGGGAGGGGACAGTGACACCCCCAGGGTCACAAAGGCATGACGTGGGAGAGTCCAGGTTGGAGCCCCGGGGCCCTGACTCTACCCACTCCCCTACACTGCTTCCCTCAGGCACAAATCCAGGCCCTGCATCTGCTGTCTCACCCTGGGCAGTCACTTAGCCTTTCTGGGCCTGTTTCTTCATCTGTAAAGTTGGGGGGAGCTGAGGTCCCCTCATGCTCTAGAGAGCTTTGCCTCTTAGGTAACCTTCCTCCTTCTGTACAGACTTCAGATGGTCCCAGTTATTGGCACACTGTCTCACACGTAAGACTGGAAGCCCCTGGAGGGCAGGGCCTTTTGTCTTTCTTTGTATCCCCAGTGCTCAGCACAGTGCCTGGCACATAGTAGGCACTTAGTAAATGCTCACTGATTGACTCTAGTATGTGACCCCACGATCCCTAGGGTCCTTCCTGCCTCCTGTAGCCACAGCCTTTCACAGCTGGGTTTGCAAGGCCAGCTCCCAGGGCAGCGGGCTCCAAAACACCCAACTACTTACGCGCTATAAAGTAAATAACAACTCCTGGTGGGGAGGCTGGGCAGTGAGATGCGCCAGGACGGCTGGGGCGATAACAGGCCAAAGCCTGAGAGGGTGGGAGCTTGCGCCACTGGGAGGTGGTAGGGGCGGCAGGGTAGGTGGGCCGTGTGGAGACAGTCCTAGGCTCGGCTGTCACACAGAAGGGCCGCCACGGCCCACCTCTGCACCCTGGTGGCTCATCCCACAGCCCACGGGGTCAGGCCACTGCCTCCAGTCTAGACACCACTGCCTCGAGGCTCTTTCTTACCAGTTAGTGCCTCTGACCATTTGGGAAGCTGTCCCTCGTCTCCTGCCCTACGGCCAGAATCACCAGGCCTCCTGGGAAACCACCAATCAGCATAGGCCCTGCCCATCAAATATCCTTTAATATAAGTCCCAAAGAGTGACATCTGAATCCTAAATGAGAATGTCCTAGAACCCGAGGTCCCTTGGGGCCGGACGAGGATCAGGCCTCCTTGTTCTCTGACCACCAGCCCCTTCCTTGGTTCTAGTTTCAGCCTGGCCACTGACTGGCTGAGGGAGATTAAGCAAGCCCCCTCCTCCCTCTGGGCTTCAGCTCCCACAACTGTCAGAGGTAGGCTTTGAGAAGACCACGGAGGACCCTCTGGCAAAGACACCCGGCGGTCCTGTGTGTCCAGAGGGCACCATGGGCCTGTCTCAGACTTTTGGTTTGGAGGCCTGGGGTTTCCTGCTTGCTTGGCGGCTGGGATGTCAGGGTGGCTGCCAGCTTCATCACTGACTCCAGCTCTTGGTTCCTCCAGTGACCAAACTGCTCTGTGGTTCCATCCCAACTTCCTTCTCCCACAACAGAAACGTCTCCTTGGGCAACTGCTGGTTCCTTCCGAGGCCAGGCTGTCTCAAGCCTTTCCCAGCATCTCAGGCAGGAAGCTCCTCCTCCTTCCCCGAAAGCTCTGTGGATGTCAGCCCCTTCAGCATGGCCATGAGGGCAGGCACCACAGTATGCCAGGCAGGGTGGGATGGAGGAAGGAGCCCTGGGTTTGGAGTCAGGCCAGGCTTCAAGTCCCTGCTCTACCTGTGCAACCCTGGGCAAGTCACTGCTCACAGGGCCTTGGTTTCTTCATCTGTAAAACGGGCCTCTGAGGTCTCTTCTGGTTCCAGATCAGGCATGCCCAGAAGCGATGCAATGGAGCATTAATCTGATTATTTTCCAAACCAAAAGGCCTTGGATGCTCACCTGCCTGGCTGGGATTCTGTTCCTAGCATCCCAGCTCCGGATCTGGGAGGGGCCTTACAGGCCAACACCCTCATTTTACAGAGAAGGAAACTGAGCCCCAGGGAGGAGAAGGGATTTGCCCAAGGTCATGCAGGGAGGCAGCAGATTTCCTGTCGTTCTTCTCACTGGCCCTGGCTGAAATTCCAGACTTTCATCAGAACCACCACATTGGAAGGGTCCAAGTGACTTGTCTAATCTCACACAATGAGTGCCCGGATAAATCAATCAACAAACCTTTATTAATCCCCACTATGTGCCAGGCACTGTGCGTACAAGGACAGAGCAGCCCCTGCCCTCAAGGAGCTTATGTTCTATTGGGGAGAAATAACATATTCACAGCTACATATAAGATATATCCAAATAAATGTAATGGTCGGGTAGGAGGAGGTTTTCCCAACTGGGGCAATTAGAAAAGGCCTTGTCCATGGTGGTTCTTTTAGAGGAAGCTAGGGGGTCTGCAAGGTGCAGCCGAGGAGGCAAGAGAGATGGGTGATGGGAAGTCATGTGGGATAAGAACCTGGATCTCCTGACTTCTCGGGCTGGCGCTCCTCATCTCAAAATGTATTTGTGAAGCCCCTGATTTACTTAGGCCAGGACCTCCCAAAGCACCTTTTCAAGAGTATCGGCCTGACCTCAATACAAACCAGGAAAGGAAACCCTAAGAAGATATGGCCCGAGGTCCAAAAGCCAGGCCTTCTGGCTCCAAATCTTCCACTGAACCACGCCCCAACCTTTAAAGACATAGTCGCCCTGACAAATCAGCACATTCCCTGCCGTTTTTTTGGAGTTAAGAGGATGCTACCCTTGTGGCACACCCACGTCATTGCCCTGACTGCCCCCACCAGCTCTGCTCGGTCTTCTCTCTGCCCTGAGGCAGTGTAGACTCTAGGCAAAACTCCTAAAGCAGGCTGCTATCTCTATTGTCCCCCTCCAACATCTCTCTTCAGGCTATGACGTGACCTGAGCGCCAGTTTCCTCATCTGTAAAATGGGGACACTAATTCCTGTTATACTGATCTACTTCTCAGGGTTGTAGTTGTGCACTGCGCTTTTCATAAGCTCCCCTCTCTCTCCTCTGCAGAGGTGGAAGGCTACGGGGTGAAATACTGCATATGCTGACATACTCAGCTGGTATGTTGGTTAGTTTTGCGAAACTGCTTTTTTTTCTCCTCTCTAAATTCTGTTCCTAGGGATAGCTCACCACGTAGTGGAATAGGGAGGGATATATTTGGAAACAAAGGTGATTGTAAATTTTTTTTTAAATTAAAAAACTAAACCAGCACTGGCTGGTTTAGGACACCGTTCAGCTCTGCCAGTACTGGGTGTCTTGGGGTTCTTCTGTCTACTTCTGGTCTACACAGCATGGTGGTGGTGGTGTCTGTCACCAGGAAGTAATGCCAGGAGCCCCCACGCAGGCCCAGGCCCGGGGCACTGATCCTTGCCCTCTTATCCAAAGCTGCAGCTGAGTGTGAGTCACCTGGTAAGCTGTCAGTCTCCCTCCCAGCACCCCCAGGGCATCTTCCTGAGTAGGTGGGAGGCCCCTGGAAAGGGGAAAGATGAGGGGGCTGCTGAGCCTGAGGGAGGGATCCTTACCTGCAGCAGCTCCAGGTCTGAGGGCTCAGCCTGCCCGGGGACCAGCTCGGTCAGCATCTCTGACATCACCTTCACGTTGCCATTCACCACCTCCAGCTCACTGCGGAGTTTCCCAATCTGAAATACACATTTAAGTTTGGCCTGGCTGGGTGAGGATGGAGATCTGAGGAGTCAGCATGGGTGATACTGCCCTAATGCCCTGCAGAGCCAGCCCTAGGCTTAGATAGGTCCTTTCCCTGGCAGCCCAAGGGCCCAGCCCAGCTCCAAAAGGAATGTAAGCCATTCTCTGGTGGGGATCTCATCTCTCCCCACTCCCCACCAGACTCATCTCTGGCCCCTCACACCTGGTGGTCCTTTCCAAACATTACCATTTCCAAGCCAACGGCACAGCTGGGAAGGGAGGAAAACCAAGGTCAGAATGACTGCACCCCCAAGGTGTGCTGATGGCAGAACTACAGCATCTCCCCCAGGGGCCCAAGGCAGCTGCTAACAAGGCCACTGAGACCCTCAGACTCCTCCCCTCTGGGGGGAGGGGAGGGGAATGGGCAGGGCCAGGTCTCTGCTCTTGGGCACAGGAGGGCCTGCTGCCTGCCTGAGGTCCCTTCTAGACAGGACCAGTTTAGTCTACCAAAGGCTGGAAATACTGGTGGGGTCAGCTAGAGCCAAGGTGTACATGTGTAACTGGGAGGTGGGAGAGTGGGAAGGAACGGCAGTGCAAATACACATTTCCCACCAGCTCCAGGAGCATGGCTGCGTTGGACTTCTCTGGACTGTCCCCTGTGCTTGCCTCCCCCAGGAAGGCTCATCATTAGGAGAGTGTGTGAGTGAGGCTGAGTGAGCAAGGATCCTTAGACTGGCCACTCCTTCAGGACACGACCTGGGAAAACCCGGGAGCAGCACTGTAGCCATTGGCATTTGGGGAATGATTTTCTATGGCAGACCTACTGTTACCATGGGGCCTCTCTCCCTCTGTCCCTCAGTTTTCCCCTCCTGAAAGAGTGCATTAATAAGAATGCCATTGAGCTATTTTCCAACTATGTGTAGATCTCTACATAGAAGACAACTTACATTTCTCTGGCACCCTAAGATTTAGAATCCAACTTCTAAGAAATCCTAGAGTACAAACATCATTAATTAGAGGCTATATTTCTTTGTGGATGGAGCAGTAGCTCAGTCAGTTCAAGTCTCACCTCTGACCCATGTCAGCTGTGTGACCCTGTGCAGTTCCCTCAACCTCTCTGTGGTCTAGGCAGCTCACTAGAACCAAAAGGTACAGAGAAAGTGCCGATCTACACTGGTAAAAGGAGCTCCCTTTACCAATGAAATCTCAGGTCCAGACCAAAATAGTCCTAGAACATACTGTTAGTGCGACTGCCTGGCTGTGTGATAGAGTGAAGGGAGCCCAGAAGCTTAGTGAGCCCTGGTTTTGACCCTCCTAGCTGGGTAACCAAGGACAAACTACCTGACCTTTCTGAACTTCACATTCCTCACCCCTAAAAGGATTGAAAGCTGTGCCATGCCCCTGCCCAGTGTGAGTGGGGGATGGTGCTTTAGAGAATCAGTGTAGGCTACTGAGAGGCAGTGTGGCCCAATGGATAGAGTACCTAAATTGGAGTCTGCCTCTGCCGCCCATTGCATGTGTGTCTCTGGGTAGGTTGCAGGACCCTTCTGTGCCCCAGGCAACTCCCCTAAGATGCTCAGGTGCCAAGGAGGCACCAGCGTGCCCTGGTAAGAGAGGGTCCAACCCAGTATAAACAAGTCAAGACCTATACCATGAGGTAGCAGGCTAGACCAGTTTTAAGTATCAATCAATCTATGAACATTATAGCACTTACTACGTGCCAGGCATGGTACTAAGCCCTGGGGCTACAAATACAAATAAAAACAAAGTCCCCTGACTCTGGGGCTGAGGGAACTGAATCCCGGGAGCCAGGCCAATCTTTACCTGCTCTGGTGTTGGCGTCATAGGCACGTCATCCGGGGCGGACGGCACGTTTGGCAGGGACACGGCTTGCTGCAGGGCGTTTGTGCGCTGACTGGACTGTGTTACTGATGAATTCTGTCCTGGTGGGGGCTCGGAGCTATACACGGACTAGGGATGAAAACCAAATCAGAGAGGGTGAAGCAAGGGCTGGCGAGAGAAACTTGGGAGGCCCGCAGCTCAGTAGGAAGAAGCTGGCCAAGCTCTCTGTCTCTTCCCAGCTTTTCTGCCTCTCAGCTTGGTCCACACAGGGGAAGGAGACAGGCCTGCCCTGGCCTGACTGGGAGCATGGGAGGTGGTGAGCCTCCTTACCCTCTGGGGCGTGTGGATGGGGGACAGCATGTCCAGGTCCGTCATGGGAAACTCCAGGCCCTTCCTCCTGAGATCTTCATAGACAGCTACGACGCCTGTCAGGTCGGGTGAGCTTCGGAAGGCGTCTGCCCAGGACTGCCGAGAGGAACAGAGGGGATAGACCCAGCTGGTCACTACACTGACCTTCCCCCCCCCGGCCTTCTTACCCATTCCTGGGGTGGCTGGGCGAGCTACAGCTAGAAGGCACCTTGGACACGGGGAGAGCCAGGAGTGTTCTGGGATGGCCCAGAGAGGGGCCCTGGGCTACAGTGGAAAGGTCACTAGATTTAGAGTGAGAGGACTCGGGTCCAGTTCCCATTTTTGCTACATCTTGGAGCAAACCAGGTGACCTCTCTGGGCCTCAGTTTCTTCATCTATAGAACAGGGGTTGGATCCGAGGACTGCTAAGGTCTCTTTCACTTCTCACTGTGGTCCCCTAATCATCAGACGTAAGATTCAAACCCAGGTCTTCAGCCTCTAACTGCTAGTAGTCCTGCTCTGACTCCATGTCCTTTAGGGCTTGGGTGTCCTCTCCTCAGCTCCATTCCTGGACTCCAGAGCCTCCTATGAGGCTCACCTCTGGACCTGACTTTGACCAGCGGAAGTCAGGCAGCCCTTCCATATTCACCTCTCCCTTCTTGGGTGAGATTACATTTACTTGTGTGCTTGTATGTTGTTATCTCTCACCTGACTGTGAACTCCTTGGAAATGCACCTTGCCTGATTCTTTTTTTTTTTTTTTTTTTTTTTAGGCAATTGGGGTTAAGTGACTTGCCCAGGGTCACACAGCTAGTAAATGTCAAGTGTTTGGTCTGAGGCTGGATTTGAACTCAGGTCCTCCTGACTTCAGGGCTAGTGCCCTATTCACTGCGCCACCTAGCTGCCCCTAGCTCACCTGATTCTTTGCAGAGGTGGGGGCCTATGGGTGTGCCACACTACAAATTCCATTCGATGCGGCTAGTGGGTTAGTATAGCTCAAGTCTTTGTGGTTTTCTTTTTCATTCTTTGTCACAAGGGACCCTCTCTGGGCAGGGACGAGGAATAATGTATTGGGAAAACGACGTGATACCAAAACAAAAGATAACAATACATTTTAAAAAAGAATGAAACTCCTTGAGGGAAGGTACCATTCTTCACTTTTTGTCTCTGACTTTCAGCACCTGGTGTAGATGTTTGTGGCACTGGGCCCACACCAGAGACTCACTCAGAAGGAGTCTTCAAGGATCAGAATCATTCTTTGATAGCTGTGTGGGGCATTCTAGCCGGAGAGGGCCTTCCCATACAGTTCTGCTATTCCACATTCACAATCACTCTCTCAAGGGCTAATGAAGTCCTTATTCCCATTTTGCAGATGAGGAAACTGAGGAAATGGGAGTTCAAGGGACTCCCTCAGGGCCTAACAGACAATGGCAGGGCTGGGACCAGAACCCAGATCTCCTAAATCTCAGCCCAGAGAATTTGCCTAGAACAAGCTGCTGGTGCCAAACCGCAGGACAGCACCCTCCTCTTGCACCCAGCCAGAGCCCTGACGCGTTGAGGCGGTTGGGTGGAGCAGGGACTAAACAGAGCATTGGACACGGGGTCAGGGAGTCCTGAGTTCAGCTCTGGCCTCTGACACAAGTTGTATGACCTTGGACAAGCCATTTAATCTCCCTGTGCCTCAGTCTCCCCATTTGTAATATGGGGATAATAATCACATTTACCTTACAGGGCTGTTATGAGGATAAAATGAGAAATATTTGCAAAGGGTTTTGTAAACCCTAAAGTTCAGCGAAGAGGAAAGAGGTTGTCTAGGTCAGAGACCAATAGCCGCAACATAGAAAATGATCGAGCCAAACACAGAGAAATGAGCCGCTACCCGAAGTGGGGAATAGCCTGTGTTCTCTGTGTTTTGCTCAGGGACTCCCTCTCAACTGGGCCATGATCTGAGGGTCCCAGGCCATGTGCTCGCTGTTGGGGCTGGGATTGGAAATGCAGACATCTAGGGCTGGAGTGGACCTCAAAGTTCATCGGGTCCAACTCACTCATTTTACAGGAGAGGAAACTGAGGCCAAGAGAAGCAACGTGACCTGCCCTAAGTCACTCAGCGTCAGAGGCAGGATTTGAACCCAGGTTCCCCACTCCTAATCCACTGACTTTTCTTGCAGGTGTGGCGGTGCTATGGATTTCGGCCTTCCCTCTTCTCTCAGTCTTGTCTTGAGAATCTCCCAGTTCAAGGCCTCGGGGGAAGCGGGTTCCAGGCCCACGTTTCTCATTTTCTGGGGGGAACCTCTGCTCTTCCCTGGACCTCCCATCGCCATGCCCCCCTGCCTGGCGCTCACCTGGATCAGCATCAGAACCTTGTCGTGGACAGTGGTGGGGGGGTTGTTCTTTGGCAAGATGGTCCTCACCAGGACCCCTTCCACGAAGTCCTGACTGGCCACGAGGACGTGGAAGCGATGGCCACAGTTTTTCACGCAGGTTTCCAAGACCTGAAGGGGCCAACAAGTAGCGGTGAGAACTCCACGTAGGGAAGGGCCCTTCCTGTGAAGACGGTCTTCCTCCTTTCAAACAGGCCATCATTTTGACAGAGAAACTCCAAACATCCAAGTCTCTGTCGTGGGGCCCAGACTGTGCCCCCCCACATACACACCAAGGCAAACCTCCTATGACTATCACCACCATGAACCCCTCCCCCGCTCTGTTGCCCAGAATATTCCCTATCACCTTGGGGTACACCTTTGGATACAAAATGGATACAAGGAGACTCACCGTCCCCTCCTCTGGCCGAGAGACCTGAGGCAGAAGGGCCTCTGTCACCCTCTGTCTCCTTGTCACCCACCAGCCATGGACTGCGCAGACAACCAAGGAGCCAGTTTGGACAGGGGGCTAACCCACATTTCTCTCAAATCTGTTTGCCCCGACTTGGGCTGAGACTTCTGGGTCTCTGGTTTCTAGAACTCTCTAGGTGAAGTGGCAGGTCCCAGGGGACCCCTGGCTTAAGCATCCTCCTACCATTTTCCTGATTCCCCCTGCAATAAAAACATTCAGCACACTGGGCCCCAGCCCTTGCCCCTTTCCAGACAGCGAGGGAACATGCGCAGATGCAGAAAGCGCCGGAGAGCCCAGGCACCAGAGGGAGCAGGGCCTGGCTGGAAAGGGGTTGGGCACGCACCGTGAGCGCCAGCATCACCTCGTGGAAGTTCTTATTACCCACAATCCTCCTCTTCAGGGCTCGCAAGGCGTCTCTGGGGCTGTGGGAAACGAGGAGAGGGCGCGGCTGTAGCACAGAACGGGCTAAGAGAGAGAACTTTCTGGGCTGCCGACATGGGAGAGGATGCACGGAAGCTCTGACTCATTCCTTTCTGCTAGCCTAGGTGGAGAGGAGACGCTGGGAGCAGTAGGCCCAGGGGGCTGGGCCCTGGACATAGAGCCGGCTCGAACCCCATGGCCTCTGGGAGCGCAGTGTTTGTCAATGCTGATTCATGGCAGAAAAGCACCAGTCAGATCACAGATCTGGAGAGGGAAGGCACTGAGTCTGACCTCCTCATTTTGCTGATGAGGAAACTGAGGCCCAGAGAGGATCATAGGATCTGAGGTCTGGAGCAAGGAGAGGTCAACAAGTCCAGTCACCTCCTTTTACTGATGAGCAAGGTGAGCCAGAGGGAGAGGAAGTGATCTGCCAAGGGGCGCCCAGCCAGGAAGTGTCATGGTCAGGACTGGAACCCAGGTCTTTCTGGTCCTCTGTCTACACCATGCCACCCTCCCCCACTTGGCTGCCTATCTCTGAAGCTTGTTGGAATTCTTGGGGAAGTGGGAGGGTGCCAGTGGAGGTTAAGTGAGGGGTGGTGCCTAGCGCCCCACTTCCACCAAGGCCTGCGATGGCTCAGCCCCAATGTCAGGAGCCCAGCTGGCCTCAGGGCCTTCCCTGCGAACAGTCTGCTTAGGCGTGCCCTGGGGGGACGGGAGTGTGGCAGGGACAGTCCCTCCTCACTATCAACAGACAGAATGGGGCGGAGGTCACAGTCTTGGACCCACAGTCACCTGCCTCGGAAAAGCCATTTTAGCTGGAGCTGTTCTCCTGACCTCTTGCAGGCAGGAGATCCAAACAGACCCAGTCTAGCAACTATTTCTTAACCACCTACTGTGCGCTCAACGCTGGGGGAGCCCCAAAGTCGAGATCATACAGATAACTATCATGCAAAGAATCTCGAGGTGCTTTAGAGAGGAGCAAACAGTGTTAAGGGAGGCCCAAGGGCTTCATGCAGAGAAGGCAGCATCAGAATTGGCCTTTAAAAGCTGGGGACCAATCAGTAAGGGAAGGAGGAGTCACAGTAAAAACAGGATGACCACACGTTGGGAACATTTTAGAGTGGACGCCGGCCCAGGGGCAGCTGGGAACACAGATGTTGTAGTAGACGGGTCCTTAGAGATCCAACCACATCATCTTACTGAAACTGAGGCCAGAGAAGGGCAATGAGCCAGGATATTCTAGGCACAGACACAGGAAAGCGCTGGGGAGGGGACAGTTCAACCTGGCCAGAGCAGTGTGTGTGTGGAGGTGAGGCCAATGCAATGAGCATATGGAGGCGAGGCCAGGGCAGTGAGCGTGTGGAGGCGAGGCCAGAGGCCAGGGCGGTGTGTGTGTGGAGGCGAGGCCAGGGCAGTGAGCGTGTGGAGGCGAGGCCAGGGCAGTGAGTGTGTGGAGGTGAGGCCAGAGGCCAGGGCAGTGAGTGTGTGGAGGTGAGGCCAGAGGCCAGGGCAGTGCGTGTGTGGAGGCGAGGCCAGGGCAGTGCGCGTGTGGAGGCGAGGCCAGAGGCCAGGGCAGTGAGTGTGTGGAGGTGAGGCCAGAGGCCAGGGCAGTGCGCGTGTGGAGGTGAGGCCAGAGGCCACGGCGGTGAGTGTGTGGAGGCGAGGCCAGGGCAGTGAGTGTGTGGAGGTGAGGCCAGAGGCCAGGGCAGTGCGCGTGTGGAGGCGAGGCCAGAGGCCAGGGCAGTGCCTGTGGAGGCGAGGCCAGGGCAGTAAGTGGCAGCAGGGGTGTGTGAGACATACACTTTCTCTCATGGCCAGCATATGGATTGGTTCTGCTCAAACATCTTAAATTGTTTCAAGTGAAGGCTTTGTTTCCTGGGCATGTGGGTGGAGAAGTATTTACAAGGGGAAAGTGGAGGTATAGCAGTAGTAGTACTTAAACAAAGACAAAAACCAGCATCCAATGAAATAGTTTGTAAAACACACAGAGGTGGGCAGGAGGAGGTCTGAAGGGGAGACAGTCAGTGCAGCTGGGGTAAATGTAGTCATATTTAAAACCCCAAGCTGTAGATGACAGAGTTCCCAGTTCCACACACAATGACTGCTCTTTCTTTTTCTTTCTTTTTTTTTTTTCTATGTGGAAACATTCATTCTCATTGGGTTTTGGACAAGTTCCTAATGTAGAAGAATAGCCTGTCAGAAAAGGTGAGGCTGTTTCAGATGTGATGGAGGCCTGGAGGGCTGTGGGGCAGCTGACCTGGAGGAGGGATGGGTGAGGAAGGTCAGCCTGGCAGCGACTGGTAGGAGGGCTGGCCAGAAGGGGAAGTGAGAGGCTGCGGCTAAGAGAGGAGGCCGGTGGGGAGGAGGGCCTGGCCCAGTGAGGACGTCCCACCTGGCACTACCAGCACTCAAGGGATTCCTGCTGTTAGCACTAACTTTTCCACGGTGAACCTGGGGGTTAAAGAATTCACAGAGCAGCCCATCTACAGCGAGCCAGGTCCTGGCAGGTCTGGATGGCTCTGGGGTTTGCGGGCCAGGCCAGGCCAAGCCTGTTGCTGCATTGGGCTCTCTGCCACTGCTCCAAGGGAAGGGCTTGCTCCCCTACGGAAGTCTCCAGCTCTCGTTAAACAGCCACAGGCTCTGGGACTTGATGGCTCTGGCAATTAAGGCCCCCCCAGGCCCCTTACCCCTCCTCAGTCTCGTTAATGATGTCACAGATCTCCATGTTGAGGGACCAGTCCTCGCCCTGCAGGGATCCATCAGTGGCTCGCTCTGAGGGAAAGAAACCAGAAGTCAACAGGGTCCACTTTGAGACGTGGCTGATGACTGAGAATATGACCAAGTGACTGGCGGGGTGACCGCTGGTGTCCCCACCTCTGTGCACTTGGGACGCACGTCATCCTCACCTCCATCCTCACCTCATCTTCATCTCCAACCACACCTCCATCCTCACCTCCATCCACAATTCCATCTTCACCTCATCTGCACCTCCATCCACACCTCCATCCTCACCTCATCTTCATCTCCATCCTCACTTCATCTTCACCTCCATCCTCACCTCATCTGCACCTCCATCCACACCTCCATCCTCGCCTCCATCCACAATTCCATCTTCACCTCATCTGCACCTCCATCTTCACCTCCGTCCTCACCTCATCTGCACCTCCATCCACACCTCTATCCACAATTCCATCTTCACCTCATCTGCACCTCCATCCACACCTCCATCCTCACCTCCATCCACATCTCCATTCTCACCTCGCCAGTATCTCCATCCTCTCCAATTTCTTACCTTCAGGGCCCACCTCCAGGGTGAAACGTTCCCTGATAATCCCTCACCCCACATCCCTCCTTTACTGCTCTCTCTAAGCCTCAATCTATCTTTTCTCAAGCTATCAATAAATCCACATTTATTAAGTGTACCTACTACATACCAGGCTACGAGAATACCAAGATAAAATGAAACAATCCCAGGCACCAGGGAGTTTACATTCTATTGGAAACAATGCATACAAAAAGGAATCTGCTAAGGAACTTATAGGCATTTTTTAAACACCTACTATGGGCCGGGCACTATACTGGGTGACGGGAAGCAAAAACAAAGAACAAAACAATCCCTAGCCTCAGGGAACTTACCCTCTCATCTGTGCACAAGGGCTAGACTTCCCAGGAGGGCATAAGCTCCCCCCAGTGCCTAGCAGAGTGCTGGACCTACAACAGGAGGTCTTGGGCATTTAATCCACTTGTGTTCAATGGCTGAGCTTAGAAACAACACCCAGGAGGAAGCAGGGGACAGAGACGACTTGGAGTCTCAGAACAAAGGGGACAGGCGGTCAGCGGGATATGCCTGAAAGGTCCACTCCTCGGCCAGGGGTGAACTCTGTGGTAGAGGCAAGGGGCAGGGGGGTCTTCATCACAACAGAAGAGGCAGCAGAAAATGGGTAGCCAGTTTTCTATGTTTCCAAAGTTTCCTAAAGGGGAAACACCTTGACCTTTCTACCAGCAGAATGGATTGTGGCCCAGAGCAATAAACACCATTTACTGCAAATAAATAATGAAAGCAGCACACACGCATGCCTTACTTGGGTTCGATAAACATCAATCAATACCAGTACCTCTCTTTTACCACCTGTTTGGGGTCCAAAGTCCTTCCCCAACTGCCATTCCCCTCACCATTTTCATACTCTACAACTCGTCCTGATCTATATCTGGCCACTGAACCCAGATGGCTCTGGAGGAGAGAGTGAGGCTGGTGACTCTGCACAGCGCTCCCTCACTTAAATCCAATTCACCTGCAAGTCATGGCATCACCTCCCTGATGCCATGGTCCTCTTCCACAACGAAGGTCAAACAACAATAACAACAACCACCACACGCCCCCTCAGATCTGACCATAGCTCCCTCGTGATGGTGGAGTAAAATTTCCTCCGCTGTCTTACTTATTCGTCTTTCTGTGCTCTCCATTCTAGGAACACTGGCCTGCAGGCTGCTCTCTGCCCATGGCCCTTCAACATTTCCACGGGCTGCCTGTCCCTCATGTCTAGAACCTGCTCCTTCCTCATCTCTGCCTCCCAGAATCCCCAGCTTCCTTCAAAGCACGGCTCAGCTGCCCACTTCTCCACTAGGCCTTTTTCAGGGCTTAAAGCAGAAGGCGTAGCAAACCTAAACCATAGGTCCCTAAAGGAAAACACACAAGGGAGCCTTCCAGGCCCTCTGGTCCAACGCAACCATTTCCCATTGATGTGATGTAGGCAGGCTCCTACAAATACTCCAAAACAACAGCTTTACTTAAACTTGTAAGCTCTTTGGTGGATTCCAGAGAACCCAGAGGCTGGTGCTGAGCACCAGAAGTTTAAGAAGACTGGACCACATGATCACCCCGGCTGAAGCTGCCCAACCTGAGGACTCCCAGGAATCAGTTCTAAGCAGCCTGGAGTAGTGGAAAGAACAAAGGAGTTGGGAGGAGGAAGGTCTACATTCCAATTCTGTCTCCTACATACCACCGGTGTGACCTTGGATAAGTCACTTCCCTTCCTCGTAGGGGCTGCAAAAGATGGAAGTGACTGAAGTGGTCAGTGATGAAGGGGGCATGCCAAGTAAGGCGCACAAATGCCCAGTGAGTGGCGGCCTGTTAACTGTTCTACCCATTCTGGAGACCTGAGATCCTGAGGGAGAAGCTGCTGAGGCGCCCCTCCCCTCTGATCCCACCACTGGGCGTCTACCAAGGAAGTCACACACCTCACAGACACCAAAATATGTGGCAGTATTTTCCACAGGAACAAAACCCTACCACTACAGTTCTGGAGAATAGCTGAACATAGGATTTTGGGAAAGGGTCTGGAGCCTTGGGCAGATTGCCTGCCAGAGGGCTTGAGAAGCTCTGACACAGGTGAGATCCAAGGACTCATCTGCTCTAAGTCTGCGATCCTTTCTGTGTGGGTGGATGTTTGGGAACACTTGGCTTAAAGTGGCAGGTTGGCGGGTGATGCTCAGGCTGCGGGTGGCGTACCCTAGGCCCTGAGCTGGCCATCACTGTCTTTGCCACCCCCCATTCCCTCCAGCAGAAAAGAAAGGCTGCTTTGGAACCCAGCCAGGTGGCTGAGACAGAGAGGTGCCAACCTAATCTAGGATTCACTCTATGAACAGCAGAGCTTGTGTTTGGGGGAGAGGAGACTGGCATACAAGACAAGTGGGCACAAGCACGTGACTTCTCCCAGGCCAAGTGGCAATTAGGGCTGCCCCGGAATCTTTGGCTTGGGTTCTTTGTTCAACCAGGTTCAGCCAGGATCTGTAGTCTCCTCCCTATAAAGTGCTCCTTCAGAGACATCCATGAAAAGAAGGCATACGATGGAACCCACCCCCCTCCAGTATTTAGTTAGAATACCTGGTTTTGCCACATATTGGCTGTGCAAGGTTGGGCAAGTCACCTTCCCTCTATGGGTGGGCCTCAGTTTCCCTTATTGTCAAATGAGGGGGTTGGGCTAGATGACTCCCCAGGTCCCGCCTGCTCCCACACCCACTGATGCCTCCCACTGGGCAGGTCTGCCTCCCAGCGCAGGGAGAGCCAAGCCTGAGAATCCAGGTTTCCAGGGCACAGCAGAGATGCTGTTGGGCACAGCGCAGATGCTGCTGGGTCTTCATGCACTTTGTAAAAGTCTGAAAAGCACACATCACACAATATAGGCCAGTGCCAAGGTACCCTCCGGGGCGGACAGGAAAAGGCTCCAGTTCACTTCTCCTGTCTGTCCTCAAAGATAAGGAAGAAAGTGTCCACTAGAAGCAGCATTTAGCCAGCAGGGCTCAGGGAGGGGGGTGTCACTGGAGCACAGAACCTGGGCTGGAGGAGTCCTTAGGGGCCACCATATATACAACCTTCTCATTGGACAGATGAGAAATACCCAAGGTCTCAGGAACTGACCTGCTCACCTTTGGAACTGGAGCCCTGGAGTTCATACTGTTGACTGGTGAATGAATACAAACTCACCTCGCTCACTACAGGTCAAGTTCACCCCAAACCCACCCCTGCTTCACATCTCATCCAGTCATTTGCTCTCTGCTCTGTCACTACGTACCGCCCCCACTTCCCTACCTTTGAGGACAGCAATCAAATGAATACTAACATTGTTTCTGGATAGGACGTGCAGATCAGTTAATTACCTACGGATTAATTCACCATCCCTGTGACTCCCTAAGCCTAGAGATCATATATCTCTCTTCCATGGACAACACTCTGCTACATGTACTTTCTCCCCATCAGAAGGTAAGCTTCTTGTGGGTAGGGCCCATCTGATTTTTGCTAATTGTATCCCCAGCACTTAGCACAGTGCCTAGTACTCAGCAAGCACTTAATGTGGGCTCATTCATTCATTCACTTATTTGTTCATTAATTCCCTTAGGGCTCCATGAAGTTACAGGAACAAAGCTAGGATGTGCATATAAGTCATCTGATTCTCAAACTGGTTGTGAGAGAGAGAGAGAGGGAGAAGAGAAGAGAGGAGAGGAGAGGAGGGAAGAAAGGGGAGAGGGGGAGAGAGAGAAGAGAGAGAAAGGAGAGGAGAGGGAGAGGAGGGATGAAAGGGGAGAGGGGGAGGGAGAGAGAGAAAGAGAGGAGAGGGAGAGGAGGGAAGAAAGGGGAGAGGGGGAGAGAGGGGGAGGGAGAGAGAGAGAGAGAGAAGAAGAGAGGGAGAGGAGGGGAGAAAGGGGAGAGGGGGAGAGAGAGGGAGAGGGAGAGGGAGAGAGAGAGAGGAGAGAGGAGAGGAGGGAAGAAAGGGGAGAGGGGGAGAGAGAGGGAGAGAGGAGAGAGAAAGGAGAGGGGGAGGGAGAGGGAGAGAGAGAGAGAGAGAGAGAGAGAAGAGAGAGGAGAGGAGAGGAGAGGAGAGGGAGAGGAGGGAAGAAAGGGGAGGGGGGAGGGAGAGAGAGAAAGAGAGGAGAGAGGAGAGGAGAGGAGAGAGAGGAGAGGGAGAGGAGGGAAGAAAGGGCAGAAGGGGAGGGAGAGAGGGAGAGGGAGAGAGAGAGAGAGATCTTGGTTGCTTTCTTCTAGGGGAAAACCAAGAACCTGAACCCTTTTGCTAAGAGGGAAGCTCGGCATGGTAGGAAGAGCCCTGGGTTTGAGAGGCGGCTCTGCCCCGTCAGCTCCAGAGACCCTTGTTTCTCCCTCTGTAAAGCGAGGTACTTGGACTCAATGGACTTTGAGGGTTCTTCCAGCTCCATGAGAGTGGACTGTGGTTGTTCAGTCATGCCCAACTCTCCCTGACCATATTTGGGGTTTTCTT